TTACATTTTTATTGTTAAAACTGAGTTTGTAAATGGTTTGCTTCTAAATCACTAGAGTATCACTCTAAAACAGAAAAAAACTGAACAGAAAAGTGAAAAAGTAGGTTTCCCGAAAAATCATAATTTTTTTATTAGATATTTCAGGTACAATATAAATTTGTGTGGTTTAGTAGTGAAGCTATCAATTAATAAAATAAAATGGACGAAAAATCGTGGAAATAACAAAATAAATCTCAGTTTTTGCTTTGCTTAGACAGTTTAGTATTTTCAGTTCCATAAAATTTATAAGATTGCGCACAACTTGTTTGAAAGTAATTTAATTTTTTGTTGAAATCAAATTAAATTCCTTTCTGTCGACTTGGTTGGCACAATCACTTCGTCCGAAAGTTTATATCTGATGATTTCTGTGTTGTCGAGTTCGTCAGCTGGGGCTGGTGGTCAAACCCTCAGACTCGATAAACCGTTCAAACAGCTCCACCAGATAAAATCAGCAGGTAGTGATGTCCAAATTAAATTTCCGACAACACTTGATGAATTTGGCATCATCGACCATTTCGCGATACGATACCTTGCAAGGTGAACTCACCTGTGTTATATGTACGAAAGTGGGACTATGGAAACATCACTACACGCTTTTGGTGTGAAGTGGAATACATTCTCCATGGCATCTTCCAGGTTTACATTCCTGTAACGCAGCACCAGCCTCAATTTCACCCTAATTTTACTTCCCTTTCTCTCGATTTTATACAAAACCAAATCAAAAGTAACGAAATCACACACAAAATAACGCAAAACACCAAGTGTGAAAAAGTAAATAAGTAAGTGTTATTTTGCTGGTTGTTTTTGTTATTTAATAAACCACAGGCGCCGAGCCAGACAGAATAAGTGCATCGCAATTATTTCGGAAGCAACGGAATCGTCTAAACCTCATAACAAGATACTATAAAAAGACACATCGTATCCATCACCCTCATCAAAATTTAACGAAAGTAATGTACACTAGAACTAGATTTTAAGTGCACTAAAGTCTTTCCAGTCCACTTTTTACTGTCTCTCCTTGAAGAAGTAAGAGTTGTAATCTATGCTTCTGTAAACAAGTGGTAGGTAGACAAGAAATTACATTTTGAGCTTTCATGCAACTTATTTCATCTATTTAAACTAATGATCAGAAAATAAAAGCGCTACTAGCTGAAACAGTATTTTAATGCATTATAAACATGCCATGAAATTTATGAGACGAATCGGTTACATACCTACCAGAGTGTTTATATTTACACTGGAATTGTACTTGAAACTTTACATAATTTTAGAACCAATTTACCTAAAGCTAATGTAATTTTATTGCATTTCATGAATTTCTTACCTTTATCTGTTACAGAGTAAAATTTAAAATAACGCAAATATTAGCCACTAAATTAACGCAAAGCAAAAATACATTAAACAAGCTAGACCTAATTTAATTTAAACTTTAATTAATGGCATTTATTTAGAAAAATATTTTGTTTAACACTGTGCCTAAACATCTAAAAATATGCTGTTGTGTGATTTTTAATAAAATAGATAATATTTATTTATTATACAAGACGATAAAAAAGAATTTTATCTTTGAGAGTAATTTAGTGTCGAGGCTTCAGCCGAGACGCTAATTTGCTCGAAAAGATAATGAAAATTTTATCGTCGTGTACAATATAAAATTTTATTCAATCTTCACTAATTTTGTAGTCAATTTGGTGGATATTTATAAATGTCAAAGTAAAATTCAACAATGAAATCTAATGTCAAAGATCGTTAGGAAGTAACAACCGCAAATATACAACAATAGATGTATTTATTTATCATCTAGACGATAAAATTTCATTTTAACATGAAGAAAAGAGTAGATAAAATAATTTTAACATAGAGGATTGAATAATAGTTATTTATTATACAAGACGAAAAGAGATTGAAGTGAAACGGTAAGTTCACGAATGACGGTCACGAGTGGACTTATTTTACGAGTAGATAAACAATCTTTATCGTCGTGTATAATACTACATTTTTTCTATAGCAGGACTTGAAGTTTAAGAGAAAAATAAGATTTCAAAAAAAATTACAATTTTGGGTATTTCTCAATACGAAACATCAGATTATTTTTAACAGATTTAAAGCAAGTTTAAGCCTTGTTGAGTCTAATTCGAAGAATAAAATGTTGTATTCAACTCGTTTGATTGTAAATCGGACGCTTTATTCCACCTTTTGAATGATAGAATTTGTAAATTTAAATGAATAAAATAAGTTAAAACATTTTATTCACCCTTGCTGTTAAAATGTGTTATTTTATCTACCCTTGCGGTTAAAGTGCCACTTTATCTACTCAAAAGAGTTGATAAAGAAATAGTTTAGCATCTGCTATAGAAATCAAATGTAAATTACGTTTTCAAAAATGACAAATAATTAATACAATCCGTTAAGTTATTTCCAAGTGAGAGAACATGTAGCCCAAAAAAGTGTAGACAGAGTCTTAGAAATTATAAAAATAATGTTATTAGGCCGATATGGGTAATATAACAGCCGAGGATAAATTTATGATCAAGGACTATGAATTGCCGAATCCATAGCACACTTCCCTGTGTGAGAAGTTACTAAAAGCCTATTAAAAAAACGCAATTTTTTGACATTTGATTTCATAGCCTATAACACCAAAGGATGAAATTTTCATGTCATTTTCATGACATCCCTAATTTATATCCAAATTTTCTTCTAAATTTTTTTTTTTTTGGTATTGATTTTTTAACTCCAGGTAGTATAAATAACGTCCGTGACTGTTATACAAGAACTCATCATAAATCTGTAATTCTGTATTATTTGCAATGTAACAAAAAAAAAACAGTAAACATTTTCATTACACATCAGCCATCGACATATTTTTAGATATCAGCTTTGTGTGTTTACAGCTTTAAAATAGTAAATACTGATAACTGTTTATGCATATTTTTTGTAGGTATAGAAACAATTTTTTTTTAAATTTTTCTCCTTTTTTTAATTAGTGAACAAGTTCTCTAAAGACATCTAGTTTGTTAATAACAAAGCAATGTATAGAAAGTAAAAGCGGTATAACCCCCTTAAATTAAAGTCCTTTTTAGTAAATACAGTGGAACACGGTTATAACGAACACTTAAGGAACTTCATAATTTCTTTGTTATATCCGATCGTTTGTTTCGTTCTACGAGTAACGGTACGTCGTTTATATAAAGTAATTTTCAAGTTGATTAAATTCTAAAGTTTGGAATATATACATAAAATAAAATATTAATCTAATTTATTAAGAAAGATACATAATTAGATAGTATACCTAAAATAAAATGTAAACATTTAATTCAAATAATAATCTGTTATTTTTGTTTGTATTTGATTTCTTTGCAGAAAGCAATTTTTTTACAATTCTTTTTGTGCCTCATCTGTACCTATTATTATTTGAGGAATTTGAAAATGAGTTGACACAGTTTTGAGTAGTTCCAATAAACTCATTATTATTGTTCCCACTTGTATAGAGGAGCATAACTTTGCTAAGTTTTCATCAGCTTTTTCACGTAAAATTGGACCACTTATGGTAATATTTGAACGTCTTTGCAAGAAAAACCATTTGATCAAAGCACCGTCATCATCGTTACTTACTGGCTTTCGAATTTGTTTAAAATTTAATAAGTTTCTAATTTCCACCGTTTCCAAGTTTTTCCTATATGTCCATACAAATAGGATTTAGAAAGACTAAACTCGACTTACATCACGAGTTAAATTAGACCAGTTATTTTCCAACAATTCAATAGTTACGAGTATTACTTTCTGCGGCCATGAGGATAAGAAAATTAAAAAAAACAACAAAAGTTATAACAAAACAAATTTCTTACTATAAAATAAAACTTTAAAACGGGACATTCAATTCTGTTCGTTATAATCTGGGTTCGTTCTAACTGAGTTCTACTGTACAACAAAAAATCATTTTTTTTCAAAATATCAAATATCTACAAATATGTGAGTGCAAATTATACTCATGTTTGATTTGTTAATTTTAACCTACTTTTTTATTCTTATATCTGGCAGCTTCAGAGCTTTTCGTATATTATTTAAATCTTTCTACACGAGATGGAGAACGATACCAGCTGACACTGATATTCCATTACTTGTATCAATGCAACAGAAAACATCGAACAAAGTTCTTTTTAGAAAACTTTACATTTAAGTACGCTATGAACATATGAGTTCAATATTTACTATTTTATTTTATTTTGAAATAATTTAAGTCAAGGTTTATTAAAATTATTAAAAAAGTAATAATAGGATGCCTTATATTGTCTACCAGCGTGATCAGCGCCTATGATTAAAAATGAGTAACAGTGGATCAATTTTGTTGAACGACATGTTTCGTCGAAAAAATATAATTTGATTACATATGGTTACAAAAGTATGTCAACTGCTGTTAAATTTAGGAAACCTTTACCGCAATCTATAAAATTTAATTTCGGCAAAGGTTTAGCCAATCGATACTAAATTAGAATTTGTAATTTTGAGTCCAAGTGAATCGTTTATTTCCAGCTATTTTTGGACGTAACATAGAAAAATAACTTACAAAATCATTCAACAAAATGTCAACATTTTATCTAAGCTGTTTGTTTTTCTACATCAAGACTATCTACTCAGTCGACTGAAACAATAAAACATTCAGTGCGGGTTTTTTGCATGCAAGTGAAGTGTGTGACATGCAACTGGTTAAATGCTACAATGAAATGAAAGCAATAAATTTGCTCTTGCTCCTAGAATGCTTCACTCGAAGAAACTCTTTGTGCAATTATTGAATTCGTTGTTTTACAAACGCGTAAGTGAATACAAAATTCATTTTTACAAATTTTTCGTGGTTTCGCCGTATTTATTACGTTTGAGTTTACTTAAAGCATCATTGCTAAGCTTAAGCTGGATGAAATAAGCATTTTTAATGAAGTAGGTATTAGAGAGAGCAATACTACCTTCGAGGTGCAAAAGCAACATTCGAATTCGCTAGGAATTTCATCAACTTTCTCAATCCTCCTCAGGGGATCAGATTTTTTGCTGTCAGCCTACAAGATAGATTGAAACACAAAAGTAGCATAGCATAGAGCAGATATTGAAATTATTAACCCACACAAATATGTTGGTTTATATTGTACTATGTACATTATATGCATTTGAATTTCATTTGACCGAACATCACACTGATGGAAAACACTTGCATGTGGAACGTGCTATTCTGATAAGTTACCACAGCTATTAACATGATTAACATTTAGCGTTGATTATTTGGTGATAGCGTCTAAATAAATCATGGAAATTAACTATCAATCAATGATTACTTTATTCAAAATGTCGAAAACCTGACCTGCTAATGCAACTAAGTACCAATAAAAAAGTTGATCAAGATTGAGATTCCAATTTATGCTTTTTTGTGACATGTAACACATTTTAGGCGTTTTTAAACAATATGACATCAGTAAGTATTATTTCAAACAGTAACAGAACTTATCCGTTAGAAAATATTGTTATAAAATAGTTTTTATTAATTTTATTGAAGATAATCGTTTCAGACTTGACCAGACAATTTTTAATATGGTGAAAAATATTTGAATTTATAACTCAAATGTCTTTATGCATCAATTCTACAAATCTTCAACGACAACTTATCGGTTACCAACTGCAAATTGCTCTAACTCGTAGCAAATATTTCAGTTAATGATCATGGTGTTATTTTATGACAATTTTTTTATCTAGGTACCTGATAACTTAGATGACTGTGTAAATGACTGTGTATGCTCTATCAGAAAACTACATTTTCATTCAGCACTAAATGCAGTTATTGAATCAATATCTACCACCACAAGATAAATATTATAGCAAAATAGACAAACGTCTATTTCCAGCTTTTTCAGCTATTTCCAGGAATGTTCCAACTTAAATTTTCTTGCCCAATTTTGGAAAAAAAATATTCTTAAAATTATATATATATTTTTTAATAAAATCAACTTAAATGTCATATTTTTTATATAAATTTTTATTTACGAAAATAGCTTAAAAATACTTACGCTTTATTATTTTTCACATAACTATAATATCTGTGCTTGAAAATGCCATCAGCTCAGATGAAAAACATACACTGGCCCACACTAACATTCCCTTCAGACATAATGGAGTACACTTTATGTTTTTTAGAGTGCTAAATGCAAATTTATAATCCGTTTTAATTTTTATTAGAAAAATTTTGAGAAATTTGTACTTGAAGTTCTAAAAATAGTTTTTCTTGGCTGTTTCAATTATTTTTATAAGTACTTTTCATCCAGAATCAAGACCAAAATAGAACTTTATGGATTCTCTCTTGCAGAATCCAAATTTGAAACCCCTGATTTCTATTTTTGTGTAGTATTTTAAGAAACATAATTATGTAAGAAAAACTAAAGGCAACAAATTAAATGCACAGTAAAAATAATTTTTAATAATTTTTTAATTTTCAAATAAAATGTTTCTGGGCAAAACCGGAGTGTCGCAAAGCGTTCAAGTTTCTAGCTCTTGCTAAAATCATTCTTGCGCAGGGGCCCTTGCTAATACATTTACCACCCTTCAATTATAATAAATATTCAGTAATACAAAAGTAGGTTCCAATAATAAATAACATTCTTGCGCAGTGGCCATACATTGTCGTTATCTAACCAAAACTGAAAATTTCTTAAATTTTATGTTATTTTACTTATTTTGATTAAAGTTACTTAACGGTTAAACTTTAAACCCTCATAACTTCGAAATTTTTATAGATAATTTTTTTTAACATTTTTTTCATGTTCCTGGTATCTTACCTCATATGGCATTTTTCTCTGGGGCGCGAGTTCTGGCGCACCCTGTATAGAGAAATACATCTAGCTAGTACATATAAATGGTATTTTGGAAATGGGTCAACACCAAATGAAATGACCAAATAACTTTCAACACTGTATTATATTATAGACTTGAGTCATTCTTCCCAAAAAAATCGATTATATGTTTTCTCATTATACTCAYTCGATTAATAATTTAAGCGATGATGACATTTTGGCTATTCATTTCTTATATGGCTCTAAAASTGAAGCAAAATCTAATGATTCTATTTCATCATCAAAAGAAAATAATTACAACAACTATAAGAGTAATAACTCAAATTGATTTAATAAAACCAGAGATTTAKAGAGAATTAAACAACGATCTTCATTTTTAATAACAACAAACAGTAGGTGGTGAAATGTATGTATATTTTTTACGAAACATTGCTTTGGATGGTAGAAATAAATAAAAATATATTTACTGAAGATAAATTAATAAGGGAATGTCTTTCGTTCTTACACTTCAAACTTTTAAGAAGATATCACAATGGTATTTATCAGAGACCATCTAAAAGATATTGTGATTATTGAGAATAAAAAATTTGTTATTTTTTAACATAAAATCTGATTGGTATGATCGTCCCTTAGATGCTTTCAGGGTTCCAAAAAAAACCTTAAAAACTATATTTTATGATAATTTTTTCATTATCATATAGAACATGAAAAATTGTACGTTTCTTATCTTTGGTTTGTTGTTTCAAAGGCACATGACGCTTTGGTCATAACATTGTATTATAATTTAGTGTTAGAAGGATTACTAGGGATAAATTATGTTAATAACAAACTGATGTTTAGATAAGTAAAGTAATAGTAAATAAACACCGAACATGTATTACGAGCTTTTTTCCAAAAATCAAAAAAGTCTAAATTAAATTTTCTTCCAAAATTCCGATGTTGTGTGTCGGGTGTATTTTTTTCAGGATTTTTTAAAAATTATTTTCTGCTTCTCAAAAAATATTATTTTTACGAAATTTGGAAAGTTTATGTGTTTTTGTATGATAAACATTTTTTCCATGTTCCTGGTATCTTACCTTATATGGCATTTTTCTCTGGGGCGCGAGTTCCGGCGTACCCTGTATACGACCAATTCGGTATTTAAATACAAACCGGTTGCCTCATATTGCAACCACCGCTGGCTAAATGGATATGCAGGGTTCATTTCAAAAACATTTACATGAAAAACGTACTAGTTCCAATTAAAAAATATAAATTAAAAAAAATGTCCTCTTCAGGTAGTCACAATTTAATGTATAAAATATATTAAATTTTTATCACCCAACAAGAACCACGTTTAGGTATGAGAACGTTTTGCCAAAAATTAAAAAATAACACGTGAGTCAAAACTTAAGCCAACCCTGATTACAACGGCACGAGACGGGCACGAGTCATAACCGAAGCAGACTTCCAGACGCAACTAACCAGTTTAACAAGGTGTTTTTTTACCCTTTGCTGCCTCGAAAACAAAATTGGTCGTGAATTTTTACGACTGAAGACAAAAAAAGGGACTCAAAGCGATCGCCTGAGGCGAGTCTTATAAAAATTGAACCAAGCATACTAATCATTTTTTATTTTTTACTGTGCAAAAATTAATTAAATACTGATCAATGATCGTTTATCAATTTATACTGATCAAAATTGAATTATTTACTGATCGCTTTATTATTACTCAAAAGTAAAACCGATAAAAGCAACCACGTTTCAAAAATAAATAGGAAATAGCTACTTTTTTCTAAACATAAAACTGCCCATAAAAACACAAGAAAAGAGCATTTTCAGAACATCAAGTACGACTTTCTCAAATTTTGCATTATGCGCCTTAAAAAATATAAAATACACTTTTTTTCCTCTTTAAAAACAGTGTTTTTAAATAAAAATGTAATTCTTTAGACTACCGAGTTCTGTTACCATATAAAATAATCTAACTTACTTGAATAATAATAAGCAAAACTTTATTTCATAATATTAAACAAGCAAGTTCTGTTTCGATACAAAGTTGCCGTCAAATCCATGAACATTACATCACTTTTGCACCAAGAGTTTAAATTAATTTATAGTTTAGACACTTGTTATTGGTTACAGTAGTAGATTGATTAGTACATTGTTAAAAAACTGATTACTGAACCAGTTGTGATGTTTGTCAATGCATTAGATGAAACATGATTTAACATTAAAAAGAATTGGTGAAGCCAGTCCAATGATAAATTATGCACAGCATATCAGCAATGACTGCTAAAATGATGTAAATTGAGCCAAACCACATTAACCATCCTATAATACGCTTGTACAAACATGTGTTCTCTTTGCTTAAAATCTGGTAGCACATTAATACGATAGCTGAAGCGGTACAACAAAGCCTTTAGATTTTAAGCAATTTGAAATAGGTAAAACAGCCTTAATTATTTCCAAAGCGTCGACATGTTTTGTACGTCTCTTTCGGTTAGTCGACCATAATGAGAATGTTAAAGTGGGTCTTACCCCTGGCGAGATGTATCCCCGAGGAGTGCTTGCCAGAAGCTGCGTTTCGTCCTGAGCGAGCGGTGCTAAAGGTCCCGTCTGTTGCAGTTGTTGTTCTTCGGGAGGCGCGAGTTCGAGAAGCCGCCGCTGCGACAAGGGCGAGGCGGGCAGTGGCGGCCCTTCGCCGGTCGGAAGACAAGGAGTTGCGGAAGAATTACTGCGTCGATGTCTGTTTGGGAAATGATCGAAGTTGCGATAGCAGCCGGTTCCGGTTTGGGCCGGATTTCGTCCACTGGCCGATTCCCCTTCAGTGCTGTTGCCGTCGGCGTGAGACATATTGTGGCCTAGCGGTCAGGAAGAGGTCAGGAACAGTCCGGTGTGCAGTCGACAATGTTCAGCACAACTCAACACAAAACGATGAAAAGCAGTTAAGAACAATTTGAAGGATTCTTTTTAACCTACGGCCGATCGACAAGGTGCACTACATTCAATGCTTATGAAACTTAACACAAGCGTGAACATGCTTTATTGTTCCCGGGTCTCTATACGCTTAACACGTTTTATGAGTGTCTGCGATTGTCTTCGTTTCCACCAATCAGGGCGCACTTGTCACCTGGGGAAGAGGACATCGTCTTAACGCGGTGCAAAGCAAAGTGGTCCAGGAAGCTTAGAGACATTTACAAAGCACTAGGAGAAACTAAAAATGGTTTAAACCTCTTTTACGAATTGAAATAAATTAGAATCGTAACTTGTAACAATTCAGTTAAAGGTATTCTAGACGCCTTTAGAAATCCAGTCTTCAAATTATTCTTAAGCTTTTTATCATACATATTACAAATAGTGGATCATGTAACGTTAATCTTCAATCAGAAGAAGCAAAAAGTCCAGATTTACTTGGAAGAAAAAAATTTATATTTGATTTTACGCCAAAACTGCAAAGGAAAAACATTTTTTGCTTCACCTGAAACGAGCAAATCTGTACTTATTTTCATTATTCTGATTCAGTGAAACAGTTAATTTTTCTCTTGATTTTCGCCTTAGAATAATTTTTCTCTGCTTTTTAAGTCCTATTACATTGGCAGTTTTATTTATTTGACCACTATATGTATGTTATTTTGACAATTAATTTATAAATTAAATAATGATAGTTCATGTTAAAAATGACTGGTTTTTATCTTAAAGCTTTTTCAAATTTCAGATTTGCTCGTTTCAGGTAACGCAAAAAATGTTTTTCCTATGTAGTTTTGGCGTAAAATCAAAGATATTTTTTTTTTCCTTTTGTATAAACTCAATCCAGGGACATACTGTAGAAAAATATTAAAATGTTTTTAATGTTCTTAAACGATATAATTTTAAAACTGTATATAGGAAATTGATAGATGCTAATCTAGTCCATCGCTTAAAATTATTTTCAACTATACAGCGTGTCTCATAAATAAGTTACGATACAAACTTGTGTTTTTTTTTACATAAAACACCATGTGTTTCTTTGCGTTTTTGGTTGAAGATTTTTATGACAATGTTTTTAAACTAATCTTTTATTGGTCGATTTTGCCTAGTTTTGAAAATAAGATGGTTTTTTGACGAAAACATGCACTTTTTAAAAATTTATTACACAAAAACTAAGACATCAAGTAATATTTTTTTACTACCGTAACGAAGAAGGTACAAGCTTTAAGGTTGTAACATTTTTTTAGTGTCTTGCATTTGCAAAGATAATTAAAAAAATAATAATAAAATAAAAAATAATTACTATTGTTTCAGTAGCCATAAAGTGTACAGTTGCATAAGAGATGGAAGAAATATCACTTAATAATCATTTGTGTTAAACTTAATCCATTATTCTTTATTTTTATAATAAAATAATTCAAATTTCAGTATTTGTAACGACTTTTACAATCTCTGGATAATTCAACGGATAAGTGATCCGTGGTAGAATAACATATTTCAACAATGCTCAGATATTGATAAGCATTGTTGCTACAATTAAAATTGAATGTTAAATATTTTTTCATTTATTAATTCTAGACATTAAAAATTTATTTTTTTAGATAGACAATTTAGATGCAAAAATAAAAAATAGGGTGTTCCATTTAACTTTGTTAAGTTATTTAACTTTTAACAAACTTCTTAATTTATTGATCTTTGCAAATGCAAAACACAAAAAATTGCTACAGCTTTAAGTTCTGTACTTTCTTCTTTGCAAAAGTAAGAAAAAATTTGTTCTAGGTATCTTAGTTTTTGTGTAATAAATTTTTAAAAAGTGCATGTTTTCGTCAAAAAAACCGTCTTATTTCTAAAACTAAGCTAAATCGACTAATAAAAGTTTAGCGCAAAAACATTGTAATAAGAGTCTACATACAAAAATGCCAAAAAACATACGGTGTTTCATTTAAAAAAGTTTGTATCGTAACTTATTTTTGAGACATGCTGTATGGTTGAAAATAATTTTAGGTGTTGCACTAGATTAGTATCTATCGATGTTTTATATAATTTTTTTAAATTTTACCATTTAAAGCTCACTAATGGACTTTTTTAACTCGCTGAGACACCCTGTATGTATAAAACATAGCATTCTAAACAGTTGAAAGATAGAAGAAATTATAGTTAGTAATCCCAGCATTTATAGACCATTAGAGAAATTATATCTGGGAGCCATATTTGATAGTAGCCAAAAATCAAATCAAATTGCAAAAAATTATTTACATGGTGTAAAATTGCGCTGTCTTGATTTTTTAATTAAATTGTCAAAACAAATTAAATTAAGGTTTGCCTTCAACGATCGGTATTTAAAATTTGCGGCAAATTTCACTTCTTCTGTAGCTACGTCAGGAAAAATAATGTCTATTGCAGACTGGAAACAATTATTTCCTTATTTAAAACTAGATTTAGAACTTGTAAATGTTGGATGGCAAATGCTTTCGGAACAATCTTGTCTTAAAAAACTGTTTTTTTTTATTCCTAGTTTTTTAATATACTATTATTCTAGAGGTGTCTTGGAAGATTTCCGACAACATCCCAGAAAGTTTATGCGTCATTTTCTATACATCCTGAAAAATTTTAACTTATTATTACTATACAGAAAAATTCTTCTATAGCAAGTCCTTTTTATAGCGAAAATTTTTTTTAGCTGCATTTATCCTATATGGCGCAATGTTTAATTAGCAAACCTTGACTTAAAAAAATCATATCTTAAAAACTACCCGGTATATTCTTTTATAAATTTGGATTGTAACAAATAAAGAGATGCTCTACACGATGGTGATGATGAAAAAAAAAACTACTCGTAGGTTCTTTCTTAGACTATTTCGATTTACTTCGAACATCTTCCAACACTGTTCGAAGAAAAGTTCGCCAATATTAAATTTCAAATTGCATATCATTCCAAGAGGGAAGTCCATCCTTTTAGAATGATCTTTATTTGAAGGAAATCGGCCTAATAGTTATTGAGTAGTGATTTTTTGAAGTTAAAGTATTTTATTCATTTAAATTAGAAAAAAAAATATTTAGTTCAAAGTTTGTGGACTTTTTGAAAATTGATTTGTTTCACTGACACGAACCAAATCATATATGCATAATACGTCAAGGTGTCACGACATGCCCTTTTTTTGTCGCCCTCTGTTATTTATAACGAACCTTTTCTTTTCCTAAATCCGTAATAACAAAATTTTTTAAGTTGCGAATCGGATATAACAAAATAATATTCCCAAATAAAAGGAAAACAAAAGTCTTGCTTTAAGCCAGAAATTTTTGTGGGAAACGTGAATTCTCTGTTGAATTGATTTGCAAAATTCCACATAAACTTAAGCTCCCACTGTTTATTCTTGTAAATTTTAACCTATGACATTTAAAAAAGCAATTAATTAGCTCAAAGAAGTATACAAGGCGATTATAAAATAATTTTCAACTTGATGTAAAATCATTAAAATAATTTATAACCAGCTTGTATAGTTTGTTAGGGTGATTAATCGGGTGTTTTCATGATTTGAGTAATTATAAACACATTTTTAATTTATCCTTTCAACTTCTAAGGATCCTGGACCAAGACACGCAAAAGAAGTGAGTCTCAGGTGGCGAGTAACGCGATGTAAGCAATCTCAATGCGAATGATTTTGCGTGCAAAAAAGTGTGTACTCACCCGTGTCGACAATCACATCAATGAGATCCATGCTCTTGGCGAAGGCATCTCTCAAATTGATATGATGGAAGGACACGATGCTGCCCTCTCTCTTGGCGCGTTCAAGCGCCTCACGCCGCTTGAGTGCTTTCTCCCGCCTCATCTGGTTCTTGTAGAACTCGGCAAAGTTATTGACAATGATAGGAATGGGCAACGCGATTACCAAGACACCGCAAATACAACATACACTTCCTATAACTTTCCCCAGCGGTGTCGTAGGGTAAATGTCGCCGTAACCTACAGTCGTCATGGTGATACCGGCCCACCAAAAAGTCTCTGGTATGCTTATGAACTTAGTGCCCGGCTCCTCCTTCTCGGCGAAGTAAGCGAGACTGGAAAAGATGAGGACGCCCATGGCTAGGAACAACATGAGCAAGCCCAGCTCCTTGTAAGAGTTGCGCAACGTAAACCCCAAAGACTGGAGACCAGTCGAATGGCGCGCCAACTTGAGGATTCGCAAGATTCGCATAATACGGAAAACTTGGACGACTCGGCGCACGTCTTGGAACTGATCAGTGGCGTTTTTGTTGGTCTCCAGAAGAAAGAGGGAAACGAAATAAGGCAATATGGCGAGTAAGTCGATGATATTCAGGCCACCTTTGAAAAACTTCCACTTATTTGGCGAAGCGCTAAATCTCAGAATGTATTCTAACGAGAACCACGTGATGCAAACGGCCTCCACCATCGCCAATTGGGGATTATCCTGGAAGTTACCCTTCTCGTCGTTGACCTGCATGCTTGGAATGGTGTTGAGCGTTAGGGCGATAGTGGACAGCACAATAAACAAGATGGACACGATGGCAATCACCTGGAATACACCACGTCATTTACTTCCTCTCTTCTACCCTCTAGAATTTCGGTTAATTCCAGACTCGTCCGAATTTATCATCAACAACCATTCCTTTGTACGAATAAGAACATTATTAGACGCACAAGCCACACAGTTCACCAGTTTCAACAAAAGCATACCTCACAACACCGGACAACGAATTTACAACAATTCAAGAGATTGTAGACTGAGGTAAGCAGACGTGAATTTAAAGCAAGAGAAAATAAACATAATTAAGCGGGGGGCCGACAGCTTTGAAACAAAATTATGGGAAATTCAGTAATTTTAACAATCTAACGGAATTCCACAACCAGACCCAGCCCGAGAAGCGGTACTGCCAACATTATGCTTTTTCTCTAATTTTAGTGATGTCAACAAGGATTTTAGAACTTTTTAATCAATTTGAAATAAGTCTCAAACTTATGTAATGTTTCAGAGATTTTCCTGGAGATATTTTTTATTGTTTTGTACAATACATAATAAATAATAAAACTGGAAAGAAATGAAAAGAACCAATAAATGCTAACTAGAAGTAATTTAGCTTTTTACCGTAGATTAAAAGATTTTTCAATTAAATGTCTGTATAAAAAATTGACCAAAAAACAATGTGAAGTTGTAATTGTTAAATAATTTTATGTTTATTACTATTGCTTTCTATGACAACATTTTAAAGCTTCTGAGGATTAAAAAATGTCTAATGATGAGACTCATACCTAAATTACTCATATTTAGTCAGCTTGTAAACATTTAAACAATAATTAGTTTTTTAATTTTATTATTATTGTGTTACTGGAATATACAAGCTGTTCCGTTTTTATTGTTACAAATTTGAACAGGTAAAAGAATATTCAATTTTAAGACAAAAGTTTCCTATAACCATGTATCAAAAAATGTTTTGTAAAGGAGCTACACCCTCTAAAAGGGGTACGTTTTTAATGGGGTTGTATCGAAAAAACGTAAAAGAAAAAACTAGGGAATTTAAAATTTTGTTGTTTTGCTGAAAGTGGCAAGAAACTTCAGCAAAAATAGTCAGAGTTCTTTTAATCCTAAAAATATATCAAACAATATACCATGTTCAACTTAATTTGCAAGTTTTTTGGCCCATTTGGGTGAAGTTTTACTTGAAAAAGGCAAAACTAATTTTGGGTATTTTAGCAAAATTTTGGCTCTAAAACGTTTTTATTCGCTTGAAAATAAATGGAATTAATACAATTTTTTGCCTAATTAATTTTTGGGCATTTTGGGCATCAAAAACAATTGAGATTTTTACTCAAAAATAAGCAAAAAACATCATTTTGTATCTAATTAGGATATTTCTCAGCTTACTTGAGCAAAATGTCGCAAAGGAAAAGTGCATTTTTTTAAGTGAAAAAGACAAAAAGACTGTTATTTTCGACCAAGTTTGGTCATTTTTTGCCAAAATTTTGTAAAATCTTATAACTCAAAAACACGTTAAACGCTTTAAAAGGTGCACCAACTTGGTGGTTTTGTGCTTGTGAATAATTTTTTCGCGAAAAAGTAGGTATTTAGGTCACCAAAATAAATCCAGTAAAACAAAATAAATTAGAACGGTAATTTGAATCTAGTTTAGTGATTTTGTGGCATGTTTTAGCGAAATTTTGCGAAAAAAAAGTTTTTACCTGAAAAACATTCTTTTACTCTCGAAAATGTCAAAGTAGCATAATTTTC